ATTTGAGGAGCAAAGGAGATGCAGCTACTCAGCATACAAAAAAAACTTACCACTACACAGGGAAAATCCTCTGCAGTATCAAACTCTCCAGCAAGAAACACACAGGCCAGGCCCTCCTGCACCAAGCTCAGGACTGGGCCTGACGCACCTCACCTGCACATTTCACCTTGATGCTGCTGCTGTGTCTCTACAAATTCACAGCAAAGAATGGGAAAAGCAAAGCCTCTGGAATCACTCACTGCAGTATTAATAACACAAGCACTCTAAGTCTTCTCTACCTTGCAAAACCACCTTTGCATGGCACTACATTTTCTACAATACTCTCATGGTGCTGGTGGGTGCCTTGATGTGGATGGGAGAGGGGAGGGATACAAGTCCCACCATCACAGAGAAGGTGACTTGGCATCTCCTGAGAAACCAGGCCTATTAAGTAGTTACAGTCTTTAGAATGCAGATACCCACAGCCTGGGGTTGTGGTGGAGTTTACTGCTGACAGACTTTGCTGACTAAACCTCAGGGAGATGTGGAACAGCAGAGCCCTGAGCTGAAGATTTTCCTGCAGGTTAGTCTGGGGGGGTGTCAGTGATTGCATCTGGCTTCACTCAGCTGTTCAAACACCCACCTGAGATGTCTCCAGAGCCCAAAATAGCTTCTTACACCCCTGACTGTAAGGATGTGTAAGCTCCCAGTGAAGGGATTTGTGTCCCACAGCACGGCAGCCCACAGGCTGGAAAAGCAGTTACCACCTGACAGCATTGCTGAGGAAGATCAGCTAATCCCAGTTTCCAATTAGCAGGATTTCTACACCTACGTTCTGTCAGACTTTGCCCATGATTCAGCTCATGGCTACCCCAAGCCATGCTAAGGGTGTCTCCTGTGGGTAAGAAGGGGGGCAGACTGCTTTGTGCAGAAATTCAGCACCCAGGTAACGTGGCACAAGAGAAGAGAAAATGAAATCTCAAAGGTGAAACCTCAGTATCTATCTCCCCACAGTTATATTTACAGACTAGAAAACTAATATCATGGTGATAATATATTTTAAGGCTTTATGTGAATCTTAAGCTATTCTGGGTCTCCAAAACATCTTGGGTATTGCAGACATAACCTGAAAGTTTCAGGGCCCTGGGGAAAGCTCCTGAAGATTTCAGTAAACTTGAGATCACTCACTTCCCTCAGTTTCTCCACTTCAAACCCAATTGCAAATACATCTAAAGTTCCTAAGCATCTCAGATTATTGCACCTAAGGTCAACATTTGACTGTCTTCCTCTTCAGCTGAGGGACAGATCTTGCCTGACACCAAGTACTTCAAACCACTCTCCTCGCCACAACTGCTGAGCAAATCAAAAAGCAAACCCTTCCCATGGTGAGCCTCAGCCACTTCCTCTTTAAAATCAGACTCCAAAATGCCTACCTGGAAAAGCAACCCTTACAAAAGCCAGTTGATTTTTTAATTTTATTACAAGGAGTCTGCAAAGTCACCACTGGGCACCACATTATCCCATAAAGATGTCAGCTTTTTAATGATTGCAGCTCTGAAGAGAAGGCAGAAACAATAGAGCTCTGCCTTATATGTACAGTGGCTCCGTGCTGGCGACAGAGACCATTTCCCCAAATGGTCAAAAAATTGAAGCAGCTCCTCTGTGGTTTTTGAAAGAGAAGTGCTTTAAAGCACACAACCCACTGTGATCCAAAGGAAATAAAGCTTTCAGTGATACCTATGAGGCTTCCTGGAAGCAGCATCAGCATGCTGCAGCATTTATTTAGTTAATAAGGACATTTTCACAGACAGTGAGCTTCCTGCTCTGACTTTGCTACAGTGCATTTTGTGTTGACACAAACATCTCTGCAAGCTTTGGCTGCTGGTGGTTTAGAGACTCAGTCCAAACAGGGAAGAGAGTCCAGGTGCCCTGCTCCACTCTCCCTATATTCTGCATAGCGTGATTATTGCAGAGCTTCTGCTCCCTGTTCCTAATATCAAAAAAGGAGCTGAGAGGAAACAAAGCCAAACACTCCTCCCTCCAAGATCAGCTACCAGGCTGCTGTCTGGCAAGGTGATGGAGCCCATCCTGGCCACAGAAGGGGCAGAGAAGGGATGTGCCCTCCATGTTCCTGCTCCTACAGAAGGAATGTGGACCTTGGTACATGATGCCCAGGCTCCACATCCAGCCCTGCCTTTAGGCCCTTTGCCAAGCAGTCCTGGAGAAATAAGGAGGAAAGTGACTCTTATTCTGCTTCTGTACCACTTTTCCAGTTACTTAATGCTCCCAAATTTTAATACCTTGGGCAAGGGATAGGTGCTGGTAGATGGCAGCTCTGGCACAGAATTTCCTGTTGTCAAAGGCTACAAAGACTTGAAAGATGAAGAGATGTGAGCATTTCAAAACCTCACACAGCTTAGAATTAGGGAACTGCAGCTGTATTCTCTTCTGACTGTGTCATTGTGATCACTGTAGAATTTTAATTCCATTAATGCCATCCAATCTATCATGTGTGATGCAAAATATAGCTCCTGTGTCTGCTCATATTGGCAGGTACAAGCTGAAGCAGCCAAGGTGTCAGTCTCAAGCCAAAGAAATGAGGGCAACCAGCCCCACTGCTTGAGGAGCACCTTGTCCTGCCAAAGAGAAAAGCTCTGACACAGCCAAACTGCCTGTTCTCCTGGCCAGGTAGATTTCTGAGAGCTTTTGGGGGTGGGAGTGCAGCAGCCAAGCCATAAAGGGCAAGAGAAATCAGAACTGCTGCAGTAGAAGGAGGAGGTTGAAGTCATCCTATTGCTTCATTTGGAGCTGAGCAGTTCCTGCATCCCCCTGGAGCGAGCTGGGGAGAGCAGCAGTGCTGGTGAAACAATATCCCATTCTGCACTGGGAGTTATGCAAGAGCCTCCCAGTCACACGGGCAGAGTGGAGCAAAGAAAGGGCATTATTCACAGCCTGACATGGATGAACCCAGTTTAACACATGCACTTGGAAAACACTGTTCTCTCTGTTCAGTAATATTATTTCACATTCCACTCATTTTGATAACCTTTTCCTTCTCACATCTACTCTGTTGACTGCCTGGAAAGTGGAGTAATGCCTTCTCCTGAGAGCTGCCAACATGCATAACTAACAGATTTTTCTTTCAAGATACCACTGAGCCTCATTTTGCAATAAATAATTTACAAATTCATACAATAAAAAGCTAGAGGAATTTAAAAGGGAAGTCTCTCTGCTTCACTTGACAAGGAAAGAGCACCAGCGTAGGAAATTGCTTCCCAGAATTTACCTAACACTCTTAGATTGATATATCACCAATATGCCACCTTTTACTTTGACCAGAAAAGGCCAGCCTTGGAAAGGAATGTAGAAACAAGGAATTTTACTCCTCTATTTCAAACAGTAAGTCATGTCTTTGTATCCCTTTGACATGACCTCAGCTTTGGAAAAAAAATCTAGGGCAAGCCCTAATTTTATCTATGAAAGAAGTATTCTAAAATCACTTTATACAGATAAAGCAGAGATGATCCCTCTCTGTTAGAAAAACCCACATGTGGTGCTACATCTTTAACAATCTGTACATGCATTCATCTGTCAAGTGCCCTGGCAAATCCAGAAGGCAACAAAGGATCAAATCTACATGGTGAATTTGCAACTAAGAGCCAAGCAAATTACAAGACCACAGAGGTATTTTGTCCTTTGATATGCAATAGCACTTGGGGGAAATTTTCTGAGCTTGTTTATCATTTACTGTCCTCATTTCCAAGAGCATCCTTCATGCTCTCTGCCATGCAACATCCTGATGCTCAGCATACCAGAAACATGAGATCCCACAGATGTAAAGGGAAATTTATATTTCATATCTTCACAGGATTGAAGTAACTGAGAATAGAATGAAGCAGACCTCTTGAGAAGCAAAACCTACATTTTACAAGGAGACCTCAGACTAAAAAGATTTCTTACCTATAATTCACTTTCCTTTCCTGTCTCTGTAACAAAACATTTGGCATATTTTAAGCTTCACATTTTACTTTCTCCTTTGGTTGCCTTTTGTTCCTTTTTCTTTTTTTCTTTTCCCTTCCTTCAAGAAATAAACATTTTCAAATGTTCTGGCTATTTTGTGCTTGTCTGACACAAACTCAAGGAGGACAAAACTGTCCTTACACATTTTAATGTGGTGGTTCTGATCTATAATAGTGCATCTTCTGAGGAAATGTGTAACTCCAAAAACAGAAGCTATTTAAAACACTTTCTTCCTCTTCATTGCTTCCTTAACTTACAGGTACTGAACTTGGACCAGTAGAATTTAAACTTTGCGCGTCCTTCCACACATCAAATTTTGAATCAAACTGAAGAGAGAAAGTATTTCCAGACACATGTGCTGAAAACAGGACTGGATGCTTAAAATTAAGCATTAGTTCAAAAGCTTCACTGAGTGAGGATCATTGTAAAAAAGCCACAAATGACTCTGCAACCAGCCAGCAACTGAGAAATGAAAACAAAAGCCTTGTGCCATCTGCGACAAGCATGGATTCCAGGATTCTGCATCACATGAAGAACTGTCCTGCTTGAAACCTACAGCTATGAAAAACAATTCTGGTAATACTTCACTACATCCAATGACACTGGGAAATCTCTGAAGTGCTGCTCAAAGGGCAGGAAGTTTGATTCTACCTGGATCACAAGAGGGAATGAAAATGTGTGAAACTGCAAGCAGCCATCAGGCATCCCTCACAGGCCTGACTGTCACAGAACCTGGGGTATTAGTTAAAACCAAGATTGCATAAACTCCTTTAGAGCCAAATCAGCTCTGTTAAAATCAAATAACACCTAGTAAAGAAATCTGGCTCTATCTGTTTAGAGTTTTTATATAAATAAAGGTTTCTGTAAAGATCTCCCTGGGTTTAATTAACCTACAGACTGATTCGAGTAAGGCATTAAGCCTCAGAGGGTTTATCCTACCGGGAGGATTGAGGAAATAAACCTATCACATCCATGTTTACAGTCTCCACCCTCCAGCTCACCTTTTCAACATCTGCTTTTGTCACGTTGATGTCAGCATCCATCTTCTCAAAATATTGCTGTGCTCGATCAGCTTCTTTGCAATCACGCTCAAACCGCCTTTTACTCTGAGAAGAAAAACCAGAAACCTTCATTGTGGAAAGCAAAAGATACCAAAATCTACCTAAAATTACTGCCTGCCACTACAACAATCTGCTGTAACAACTGAAGGATTTTAGGGCTCTCTTGTTTACACTGGAATACATTTCCATATTAATGAACTTCAAAAAATGGAGTTACAAGAGGCACATTTTTTGTTCCATTATCGAGGCTGCTCATATTTCAGTATTCTTCCCTTTTAGCATCACTTCCACTCTTGTAGATGTAATTACTCTCTTTCAACGCTTAACCCCTTCACTTTTGTAAATGAATGAGAAAGTTACTAAGACTAATAAATTTGCAAGTAGGACTTTCAGTTATTGATAGCCCCTTTCTATCCTCTCCTGTACCTACAGCCCTACTTTTCATTTATCACATGAATGACAATCCCAATGTATTTACTTTTGGGAAGCAGCACCTCAGGAGATGTCCCTGTTCAATTTATTCACACAGTATGAAGGTGTTCAACTTTCAGTGGAATATCTGAACAGGATCCTTGGGGACTCAGCAGTTTCAGCAATGCTAAGCACACTTTTCAAGTCATATCAAATGAAATGCTGTTCGTGATTGACAAAGAGCCCACAGAAGCCAAATGTTCTGTTAAAACAAACTTTTTCAGGACTACAAGCGTATTTAAGACAGAGTTTTAAAAATCCCATTTCTACAACTTTTATCCATATACCTTTCTTTTTCCAAACAAAACATTTGGAACCATCTCTTTGAAAACAATAAATGACTTAAATGTCACATCTGAGGAATTTGCCACTTACTGCTTCAAGTTGTTTCCAGCAAGTTTCAATGTGTTGTTGTGCCTTTCTGCCATCATGGAAGTGCTGTTTAGAAAAAGAGAAAGAAAACATTCTGAACAACAAAAGAACAAACATTCAAGTATGCTCAAGAAAAAGCCCAACCAGAAATCATTCTGACAGCTGTGTTCTGCAAGGCTGGCGAATTGAGCAGGTGTGTGATGACTATCTAATGTCTCAGCAGGCTGCAGATGGATATTTGCATCAATTATAGTGGTTAGTTTGACTAAGGCTAATTAATCCCTTTAGCAATTCTACCTTGTATTGTTCACTGTATCTCATAATTATTGGTTTTCCATATCATGAGATCTGAAGCACTTTTATCTGACGAGTATTTCTTTGGTGACAGACTGAACACAAGCTCTAAATTAAAATTTCTCTCTACATGAATTTACCAAGATGCACTTGATTGGCACATTCTAACAACTGATGTTTGTCCTGATTTTCATTCAGACTCCACAAAAAAAACCTCCTCTTCTTTCCTAGTTACTAGCTGTGTGTGCAAGGCCAGCTGCTCCTTCCTCTTGAGAGGTTTTTGGTGCCATGGGTCCCTCCAGAATCCCTCCCCTCCCACATGCTGGGGGTGAGTGTGTGTTCAGAGTGAGGTGTTAACTTAAGTTTTAAATTGAGATGTCAGCTAAACAACAAGGAACTCTTCTCCAGACATGCTTTTTGAAACAAGTCTCTTAATTGCAGTTGGTCTAAGTAGCAGTTCTTAGCCCTTACACAATGCTCTTTATCAAATAATCTAACCAGTGTTAGTGTTTATCCCTCTGCAGAATCTCAGAATGGTTTGGGTGGGAAGGGACCTCAAAGACCAACTTGTTCCAACCCCCTGCCATGGGTAGGGGACACCTTCCACAATCCCAGGATGTTCCAAGGCTGGATTGAACACTTCCAGGGATGGGGCAGCCACAGCTTCTCTGGGCAAGCTGTTCTTCCATATGCCTGGCTTTCCCTCAAGATAAACAATTCATTCCAGATCATTGTATAAGTCAGTGACCCAGCTCTGGGCAGGAATGTAAATGCAGACCCAGCTGACTGCTACAATAGGTTACTTCCTTCCACAAACTTTCCTGTAAAATAAATAATGAAGCAAACTGAAACAGGAGGAGAGAGGTCTTCATTTTGTATTATTTACTGGCAATTAGTTTTACTCAAATACAGGAATGGTGTCACACAGTAAACTTGAAAAATAAAGGCCAGATATTGCCAGATAATCTCACTAGAATTCATGTGCTCTCACACCCAAGCATAATCAGATTTTAGATAAATCTTAAGGAACGGTATATTGGGTTAAAAAAAGCTTACACTCCAGATCATTAATCTGCTACAAAATGCCACAGTTGTAAAAAAAGCACTACAATTGGCAGCTCCTTGGTTTCCTGCATCTTCTACTAGAGTAACTGGTATTTTCCTGTGTCAGGGGAGTGAGGGACATTTCAGAGCTGCTGTTCTGGCTCCATCACACATAACAACAAAAAGCCACAAAACTGCAGTTCTCCATCATGTCCAATAGACTCATATAGCCTTAAAAATCACAGTAATGTTCAACAAGTCTGCAAGAACAGAACACCAGGGCTACCCTGGGTGCTCTGGATGCTCTTTCCTGTAGTCCCAAACGCTGTCTGCTAAGGAGAGATGCTCCCCTAGAACTGAGCACAGGGACAGTCTGTCTGGATGGTGTTTATCTCCACATGAAAATTCTTAAAGCAGACAAGAGAGGCCCAGTGTCAGAAACACTTTCCATCCTGGTATGTGCCATGCTCAGCTCTGGCTCTGCTCTTGCCCTCTGAAGAGGGAGCATGTGTGGCCACTGGGCCATGGAAGGGGGAGCAGTGACAGCCTGGGACAGCAGAGACCTTCTGCAAACGCTGCCTCACCACATTGTGACATTAAAAAAACCCTTGACATCACTGTAAAACTGCTGGGTGGTGGGGAAAGGCTCCAAGTTGATTTCAGTTCCTTTTGTAGATCCCCATGTCCTTTCAACTCAGCGTGTGACAGATGCTGCCTCTTCCCTGCCAGGGGCTTCTTGTTTCAGGCTTTTGTAATTAGAGTTTAGGAAAACAGTCCCAAGGAGTAACAAAAACAATCCCAAGGAACTGCTGTAATTTAACACTACATTTTTCAACACTTTGTTAACGAGCATGAAATTCATGGAAGCTTTAACAGTAAAGCTGGAAGTAAAATGATTCTGATGCCTTCGTGTTCCACCAGCCCCCATCTGTGTGCTCCCCACTCCTCTTGCTCCAACTTGGCTGGGGTAGGGAGGGACCTGATTTGGGAGCAGCTGGTCTGTGTGAAACCCAATACTGTGAATGACCCATAAACCTCAGGAAAACACCATGCCAGGTTCATTTAACGGGAAACAATTGCAGAGAGAAGCTGGAGGATGACCTTGGAAACAAAAGTTTATCAGATAACAGGACTGCCCTCGGTGTGTATTTTTAAACCTTTGTAGTTGAATAATGTAATTTTAACAAGCCATCCCTGTCACTTCCAAATTTGCCTTCCCTGTAAGACAAACTGCAAAAGCTTCTAAAAGTACATAAAAGAAGCACTGAGCCTGAGCAGTGAGACTGCATCTAATTCAGATTTTGCTGCATTTTGATACTTTTTTTTCGAAAGTTTTCTGCACAAACAGAACTCTGAGATGTAAAATGGGAAGTGCACAAGATTATTAAATAGTGATGAATACAGGTGCATCACATCTTGAAGAGTTCAGTGAATTACTGCCTCTTTTTAGTTCAACAAATTTGGACATATACTTACATCCCCTAATTCTTGCCGTGTTGTCCCATATAGATCCTTGTTGTGAGCTAAAGCATTTCTGGTTTTGCAAATCTTTTGTCCTCAAATGGTAATTTCTGCCTTACAAAAATTCATTTTCATATACAGGAACTAAGTGGGACCTTCCAAATATCTGTATTTCTGCACTGGCCCAATTTTATGGGTAAGAAAAATCAAGGCATTATGGTCAAGTGATCTGCCTAAAGTCATACAGGAAGCCTCCAGTTTCCTCAAACCATGCACTATCTTCAACTTCTGCAAACTCATTTCCTTTACAATCCTCTTAAACAGCAAATGTCCTTTACCTTCCTCTCCTCCCCCTCCCAAACCCCAGCAAAAATAACTCTAAGCTCAACTATTCCTTGACAAGGTTTCAAGATACACATTCTGATTTAAATACATTTATTTGAACAAATTAAATAATTGGTTATTCTACACCTGAACATTTAGCAAATGGAAACATGACAAACAACTTAGCAAATCCTGTGGAAAACTAGCACTCTTAGTCACACACATTTCAGCAGCACACAATGATGTATTTAGAGTAATTGATACAATATTACTTTTTGCCCCCACAAATTAATGCTCCAAATCAGGCTGCTTAAAAAAAAAAAAAATCAGAATATGAGCAAGATATTCAATTAATAAATCACACCTCAAGTGTGCCAGTGAGACATTAGCAGCAGTGTTGGTGGCTCACATGCCATCATTTCCTCCAGACTTTTCACCCACATCCACAGAATTCTAAAAACACATTAGAAACACAGTAAAGTGAAAAGTTTGGGCTTATCAGTGTCCTTTAAGTCAACCTCCCCTAAATCACCTTCAAGTCTATACTTTGCAGTTGTCAGCTGGCAAACACTGTGCCAACTTTAAGATTTCCCTGAACAATATTTTATTGAAATATTAAACCAACTAAATGGCTTTAAACACAGCAGCACTGCCCAAGCTCAATCCACATGTGACCACAACTGTCCCTTTTCCCTGTGTTAAAACCCTGTGTTGTGTCCTAGAGTGCTCTGAACAATCCACAATGGTCATGTTTTCACTGGACAACTCCATCCATTCCAGCCCACAGGATAAACACAATAATGCAGGTTTTAGGTGATCTCATGAGAGTTCACAGAATCAGTTTGGAGAAGATCTCCAAGACTGAGTTCAACTTGTGACCAAGCACCACTATTTCAACCAGACCTCAGTGCCATGTGCAGTCTTTTCTTAAACACTTGCAAGGATGGTGACTCCACCACCTCCCTGGGCAATCCAATCCAATCCTTCCCATGACAGAAATTCTTCCTAGAATTCCAAAATTCAGTTGTTAAGATTTGAGATATTTTTATCAGAGTATTAAGTTGCTCATGTGAGGACTGTGGATTAACTCAACTTTTTAAAAGCTTTTGTTATACTCAAAAAGCTCGCAGCTCAAGGAATGAGCTTTTCCCCTTGCAAATCCAGCCACCAGGATCGGTGTGCTCTCATTAGGATGCTGCCTGTGTCTGGAACAGCTGGGGAGCAATCCTGACTGCTGTGCAATCAAAGACAAACCTCTCATTGACTTTTGTTGGGCTCAGATTTCACCCGTGTTGATGAAAACCCCGGGAGCAGCGAGCGAGGGACCCACAATGCAGAGCCTGTTCCTGCCAACGCTGCCACAATTAGGAGCAGCGGGATATTTTTGCAAAACTTCCTTGGTATGCACGAGGGTTTACACAGCCCCAGAGCTCACCCAGCAGACAACAACAGCTTGTTAGAAGATGCATCCTATCTTTTTCCTGACCTTTTGAGAGAAGCAGGAGAAAAGATGTTGCTAAAAGCATCTAAAGAAGGACAACACATTCCAGTATTTTTGCTGAGGAGTTCCTGGGCAGTTTGAAATGAAAGAATTTCCTGAATTACGTAGATTACACCAACATGACAACAGGGCTGCTTAGGCTCTGTCTAAACTGATGCTACTAAACCTTTTAAAAAAAGGCTGTAATAAGTCAGCCTTGTTTTTTCTAAACAAACAGGAGTTGATTACATGGTTGAACTGAGGACTTGTACATCTACAGTATGTTTGTATAAGAAATAATCACAAAAACTGCCTCAATTTATATGCATAGCATATGGTTCATTTGACAACATCCTTTTCAAGAATTTTCAAATAATGTATCTAAGGCAAGGGTGCTTCATTCTCATTTCCATTTACATATTGAGATAATACAACAGACTGACAAAATAGTTACCTTTGGCTT